TTTGGGCCTTTGCAATGACAAATCGATTAATTTGGGAGTAGTGTTATTTGTATCATCTTTCTAATAGAAATAGGGCCCACCAACAATGTGAGTCTCATCTCGATTAGAATGATGATACAAAAATAACATTTATGTTAATTTTGTGTCCTAAAATCCTTGTAACTCATATTTGTTGGAGGATATAAATCAAGAACGCGACCCTTGCCTTTTAGAGATAGAGGCGCAACAAAAAGTCTTCAATAAAAGCGATGATGCACTCCATGTTCATTCACTTATGTAATTGGAATTCTTCATATCTATCTGAAGAAAAAAAAAAGATGAGTATGATTGGAACAAAAGTGCATTTAGATGACCAAATTTTGACACCATTTTTTGGTGTTTTTTGGATTTGAAACGAAAATTTCACCTACAAAATCACCAATGTTTTTCTCGTGAAATCGCATTTAGACATTTACTCTAACATCCCATTTTAAGTATATGCATCACAGAAAACAGAAATTAATTTCAACAACATTGCTTCTCATGGCATTGCATATCCAACTCAATACGAGAGGAATCATCCGCTTCGAAAGATAAAACGCGTACAATTAAGTTGAAACTTTTTAATGTCGAAAGAGTCACATAGCGTAAGTACACTATCAACAGCCATCGAAAGTCTTTGACAACGATCTGCATCGTCTATGTCTATGTTGAGAACACAAGTCCACAAGGTTTTCCATACTAGTAGTTCTGGTTAGCCCACTTGCCCGAGCACACTCTCAACTTGTAAATGCGCCAATCCCGCTTCCCCCACGAGAACTAACTTGACCTCCTGGTTGACCTTTAATTTTCGTCATTGCTGCGTCTATATGTTTTTCTCTTGTTTCCTTCTTGTTTCTGTAAATACCTTACGGTGAATGAAGGCTAGGACCTTAGGGTTTCATCCGGCACTTTGCTTGGCCCATCAACTTAGATATTGGGCTTCTTATCATGCCCACGTTTGACATTTATTGGCCCAAACTCAGGTGTACTCGGTCGAAGTTGTACAATGATGCATACACAACCACTAAAGCACGCCCAATAAATCTACAGTTTTGTTTCGGCTAATACTTTGCTAAGTCTAACTGTATTATAATTTCACTTTATCTCCTAAAACTCAAATTGTGTAACCTTACTCTGTGCGATCCAATTTTCGTTTATAAATCAGTTGAGCACTTTGACATGGCATGATTGGGTCCACTTGCTTTGCCACATCATTGCCACATTATTTAAAACAATTAATATTTTTTAAAAAATCAATTGAAAAAGAAAACTTTTTTTTTTTAACAAATGATATTATCTACACTCAGGGGGTGGAGGAGTAGGCTAAGTCTCACAATGGGCGTACAATAATGTGGTTCAAATTCACCTTTAGCGAGAATTGAATCTGAGACCTCTTAATTATAAGTAAAGAGGAAAACATTTAAACCATAATACTAAGTAGCAAGAAAAAAAACAAAGAACAAGCAGCATTTTGCGAAATGGCAAAGGGGATTGAATATGGATGGAAATGAGCGTCTACTCACGTTTCGTCACTTCCTTCACTTTCACGCAATCAATTGTTTTTTGTAAGCAGAGGAATATTATGAATTACTAACTAATATAAATTGCAGAGAAAGAATTGAACTTGTGTGGATGGGTAGAGTACATCAATCATAAGCCAATATGATTTTTTCGTTTCACTTAGAGTACTTGGTCCTACCGATAGTTTATTTAGGTCGCAAATATTTTACATCAAGTCACACCTTCGTTAAAAATAAGTTCGATGGATTTAGCAAAATTAAATAGCATTGCGCCCTCCCGTTTGCACCTAACTTCGATTCCATCTTCTCGTAATTCAAGCTAGTTAAGAATAGGTTATCGCTTGGATCAAATAATGCCAGCACTTAACATCCAAACTCAAATTGTCCTAAAGAAAGTGAGTGTGACAAACTGCACATGACAAGTATGGCTACATTCATCCAAAATACTCACAAAAACAAATGAAAGGGACACACTCAAACTCCAAAAAAACTGCATAGAATAAACTCCAAACCTGCAAGCAGCAGTACCAATTTGCCTTCACATAATAAATTCAAATATAAAACAATGATTGACAGATGTCAAACTCCTAAAATATATCAGAAAATAATTCACCGAAAACTGAATGAGGATCCTGCTGAAACTTTTTGTGAGATCCGAAAATCCTTTAATTATGTTCATTCATCGTACATACGATCAGAAATCATTTAAAATTTTATTTAAAATTAAACATAAATATTACTTAATGAAAGCTAACCGTACAATTTACGATAAACGGATATAATTAAAGAATCATTTGGTTCCTCACAAAGAGAATCTAAGAGAAGATCCTCATTCAAAACCTAACCCCTTTAGTTTATATTATTCGCATATTGTACTTGTAGCTATAGAAGTAAATCCATATGAAATCAAGTGTGAACCAACCAGCAAATCTCAGTCGTGGGAAACCGATCTCAGCAAAAATACAGAGCACGGATTAGAGGGAACTGTAAAAATCCACAAGTTCCAAACAGATGACTCCGGCTCTCAACGTCAGCTCCTGCGGAGCTGAACCCCAGTACACCCTCAAGACAATTGGTAGGCGACAAAACCGCACCCCCAAACCAAACATACAAATCAAACTAGTTGTAACTTTTTTTATCATATTAATTATTTTAAATACTAAATGATTTTAATATTTGTTTCAAAAGTCATGGCTACTATAGTAATGTTACTTTAATTTAGGGGTATTTTCATCCATATTCAAAAAATTGAGTTGTTGGATTCAATCTAGTGTTCCTATTTTTTCCTTTAATTACATTTCTACATTTATGCATCGTTACTCAAATTTTTTATTTTGAATATTCTTTTTAGTACAATTTGAATATTTAAATACGAAAATCTAACCACTTTTATGGAAAATAACTAAAAGAAAATTTATATGTCATCATATATGATACTTATACCATAGGTTGATAAAATACATCTAACCTAGGATAGAGGTATCTATGAGGAAAAAAAAAAAAGTCTACCTATCGTCCATGAAAATAGTTCAAACAAATTTCATCGTTTATACATTTATGAATCCATACTAGTATATTTGTTGATAGGTATAGTACCTACAACATAGATTAGTTAACACAATACTGACAGAGGTAGAAGAAAAAATTGAGATACAAATCAAGAACATAAAAAATGAGAAACAATATTTAATTTTTATATTTAATCTTAAAATTGCTTAAAAGATAAACCTATAAATAAAGGATGACAAATATCAACTTTAATTCTATCAAAAAAAATTTAATCACAACCTAATAAAAATTAAAAAAAAAAAAAACATGTGAATAATCAATGAATGGACCTAACCCAATAAAATTGACTAAAGCCACGTACAAAGTTGAACTTACATCAAGTTTACTCTTAATTTTATCCCATTTTCTCTGCCCACTCCTACTTTTTCATTTTGTTATTTACTACAATAATTCCTTTTATTGTAACCGAAAAATTAGTAGAAAAAATATATCCTCTTAACAACAGGCATATCATGTGTTAAGAATTTGTACCTCTCTCTAGTATGGAGTCAGTAACAACTTAGTCCCTATTTTAAACTTAAACACTTTACTATCCTAAACTTTCAGATCTCTACACGATTCGCTTCTTTTAAAAAAAAAAAAAAAAAAAGTTATGTACCCTAAATGAAGCCATTCTAGTCAATCCATAACGAATTTCGATCATAATTAAGCTCGAAGTTCTGTGGATAGATCAAAGAGGTATTTTAAGAAAGAGTTCATCCTCAATCCTTAGGAGCCAAGTCTTTCTCTTTAGATTCATATTCTTATGTTTTGGATGTCTCTCAACATAACTGGAAAAGTTGACGGAGTTAGAAAACTGACTACTGATGCAACAAATGACATAATTTGAGGACAGGAGAAATAATTAATGGAGTTTAGTGATGAAACTAAACTCGTGGCATAGATCAGGAACCTTCACTACAATTTAGCATTTTTTTTTAGTTTATTTCATATTTATTTAAAAATACCCTAAATTCAAGCTAAAATTGACATATGACATTTTTTGAATGGAATAATGCACAAATCACATGACATTTCCAATACATCCAAGAATTTCTTCAAAACTTCACTCACTTTCTCTGCACTCACATCACCACTTGTATACAAACATACATGATAAAAAATATAAAAAAATAAAAAAATAAAAAAAAAGGTACGACTTTGCTTGAACAAAAATAAAAAACAAATGTTGGTATGTACCCACACTTTGACTTCTTAAACAACAAAACCCGACACATATTCCTACCAATTCTGCTCACGTTAAATATAAAGAGTTGAGACCCCAAAAACAAAAAAAATATAAATATTAAGACCCAAATCATACAAGAACAAGACTCCAAAATTAATACAAGCTTTCAAAGAGTTGAGACCCCAAAAACAAAACGCATTGAAATATTTAGACCCAAATCATACAAGAACAAGACTCCAAAATTAATACAAGCTTTCAAACCATGGTCCTTTTTAAAAGATTCCACAGCACGAAAAAATACATGTATGTATATCTATATATATATATATATATATATCAAAGTTTAAACTGAAATTAAAAAAGTTTTTTTTTTCCTAATAAAAAAATCATAGCATATACGCATGTGACATGCATCTATGGTATGATTTTCTTCGCTAATACACGTTTCTTATTATCTATGCTATGGTTTTTTTTCTAATATAAAACAAGAATGTCACGTGCATCTATGCTCTGATTTCTCTAAATAAAATATATAAATGTATATTCATATATATGAAAGTTAAATTGAAATTAACAAAGGTGCTTTTTTTCCCTAATCACTTCATGGCTGCTTCCTTTTTTTCCTTCCTTGTTTTACAGCATATGAGTTCCAATGCAATTTTCACCGTGTCGACCACGCTATCTTTTTCCCAAGCTTTGTTGCTCTTCGAAACCCCAAAAACTTAGACTTTGTGAAAAATTAAAATAAAAATTAAAACCCTACACATTTCAAAATTAGACAATGGTGCACAGCCTCTCACACCTTGCCTAGTACGTCGTCGTCTCGGTAATTTAATGCCCGAGGAGAGTTGGACTTTGCAAAATAATTAATCAATTATTACTGCTCTCGTCAAAAGGACTCATTTGTCAATTTAACAATTTCTATGTACTTCTCTTTTTCTTTTTCTGGGTTCAGAACCGTTGCGATACCGACACGTGGCGGCGCCTGAGTTGGGGAGAGACGATGGAGATGAGTCCGCCCAGTGGGGGCCGCATCTTTGACCTGTAGATCATCTCGTCGTACGGCCTCCTGTAGAACTTCAAGAAGGGCGCGAAGGACTCCCGGGACTTCTCCGTCCTGCTAACGTGGCTCTCCCTGCGGAAGAACGTGGCCGGAGATTGGAGGAACGAGGGACGTGGGGTCCGCGGCGGCTGGCGGTGGTGAGGAGTCCGGCTGGCCTCGATGCCTGGGCACCGTTGGGGGAGTGGGGTCGACGGGAACAGGCTCTTTCTCATGGCAGCGGAGTTGCCGTAGCCATGGATTGTTCCACGTGCCGTTCTGGCGGCGGGGGATGCGAAGGAGAAGGACCGGGCGTTTAGCGGAGAGATGAGCGCGGGTCCCAGCGGGGAGGGTGTGGTGGGCCCTACTTTGGATGCTGACGTGTCTGTGAGGCTGAGGTACCAAGGCTTGAGGGAGTCGAACTGATGCTGAGCGACAGTGAAGGAGAAGCGGGAGGATGAGCAGGAGCCGATCTTGGGCGTTGATTTGATTGAGGAGGGGTCGAATCGAAGGGACGAGGCTCGCGGGTAGTTCGAGAAGTCACTGAAATCCAACGACTCCTCAAAGTCTAGCGACGACACCATCATCGTGGCCGTTGAAAGCTCAACGAACGGTCGAACACCCTATAATTTGTATAAAATATTTTCGACAATTAAATATATATATCAATGCGGAAAGAATGTAGGTATTGAATAAGATGAGTGTCTTTTAATGGTTGATAGCTATCTTATATCCAAACAAGCAATAATTGTGGCATAATTTGAACCCAAGCAACCAATCAAGAGCTCATGACCCCCACCAAATATCGACCTGCTATTTTGAACTCTGCGAAACCCAGCACAAGGATGTGACTTAAGCTTGAAAAGTAAGAAATATAGGTGGGTTTTTGGTTTTGTACCCAAAAGCACCACAGATACTGCACAAGTGGTCAAAACAAATACAGTAACACCAGCAGGCAGCAGCAGCAAGATCAACAGTACCCTTGGACTTTTTCACCACCAACCCAATGAGATGGATAATTTTAAAATTTTAAAATTTTAATTAAATTCTTACCTTCCAAAGATACGAGAACATCGTGGGGGGGTCAATTACAAACGCTTTGAAGAGCCGTCCTGGGTAGTACTCTGCCACAATTTTCAGTGCTGCCACCAACAAGTTCATAAAAGCAGAAGCTGACCTGAAAAAGCCTGCAAATTATATATCCCATTAAAAATTTAATTAATTTCCAAATTATGTATATTAATTAGTGATTAGATGAATAAAACTTGATTAGTGTCTGGCAAGCCAGAAAAGTAGAATCCTGGGAACTTCTGCGGCTCTGCCACAGGATCAAAAATATTTAAGGAAGAGAGCTGTGTTGGCATTGACCAATTCAAGGAAGTACTCCAATTCCCTAGAATACCCCTACATTCCTGGATCACTGATGGGGGATTGACCGTGACACGTGAGGGGCACTCCGGACAATTTCTGGTGATATCTCAGTCCCCTGAAAGAAACACAGTGCAGCTTCTCCGACATAGCTGCGTGCCTGGTCTCTCATTAACTAAGCTGTTTCAACTATATCGTGCAGTTTCCAAGTACATTGGTGTTGAATGACTAAATTAACCTTAGAGGTGAGGGTGCGTTTGCTGGTCTTGTGAAGGTTAAGATTGGGAGTTTGGAGTAGGGGGCTTACTTGCGTCGAAAAGGAGGACGAACTGCTCGACGTTTTTGAGCATGGACTCAATCGCCACCTCCAGCGTGAATACCAACAAGCGAGTGAACCTTAAAAATTTACAAAAACCGAAATTTAATTTTAGAAATAAAAAAATGCTTGAAAATTAATAATTGGAGGAAAATAGAAGATGGAAATATTGATTTAAAGGATTTCTGGGTTTTGTTTACTCACAGTTTTTGTGAATGGAACTTCTGGTAATCTTGTTTAATCCGGAAAATCTGTGAAAAAATTAAGAAAAAAAATGTTAGGTTAAATAAAAAACCAAAAAATTAAAAAGGAAAAAAAAAGAGAGGAGTGAAATGGCAAGTACCACAACAGGTCTGGATTCTTCATCATGTCCAGACGTGTAGGCAACGCCTTCAGCGAGTTCAGCTGAGAACTCATCTGCTATCAAGTTCTCTGTGTGATCAACAACATGAAAAATTAAAATAAATAATCAAAACAGATTTGAATTTTATTTTTTTCTCCTTTTTTGTGGTTTGAAAAAAAATAAAGTAAAAAAAAATTGGGAAAGAAGTGAGTTTAATCATTAGTGGGAGTTGGGTTTACACTTTAACGCTTAATTCAAAGTTGTGGAAAAAGCAAGATTCTTTGGCTAACCACAAAACAAAAAAAGAAACCAATATGCACTTAAAAAAAGAATAACTAGCAGAAGGAGAGAGAGAGAGGAACAAAATTGAAAACTTGGATTTTTGTTAGTTTACCAGTTCCAACACTCTGTCGCCATGAAAGGCAAGCCCTAAGTTGCTTGGCTGCCTTCTTAACACTATCTCCTTTTGCTTTCAAAAACCTCTCAACACAAGCAGTGTTGCAGAACTTCTCCTGCAAAAACAAAAATGGCAGCACACAAAAAAAGAGACGTAAATTCCATGAAAAATGATAAAAGACGACCCATTGAAAAGATTATAAATTTAAGAAAACCCAATAAAAATATTGAATATTTAAGAAAACCTATAAGGTTAAAAATGGAGATCTGAAAGTTGGTGTGAGGATCCAAACCTGTTTGACTGTGAGTGGAGCTTGTCTTCTCAGAAGCTGAAGAACTGCTTCCACTCTTGCATTTTCTTTGCACTGTTCATCTCTCTGCTGCTGGTCTTTCTTTCCCATTTCGAGATTTCCAACCAGTGATGAAATAAAAAAACCAAAAAAATTCCAACAAAACACTCAGACGTTTATACCACTCTTCAAATTTACGCAACCATTAAAATGTTTCACTCAGCACAGAGAGAGAGAGAGAGAAATATGAGAGGGAAAAGATCGTTGTTGAAACTTGAAAACTGAGAGGGTTATATATAGCAAAACGACAGCTCATAACGCCGTTACAATGGCAGAGCACACTGGCGCATGCAAATGTAATCCCAAACGTTATTTATTAAACTATGGAGGCTTCTTTAAATTAAACTAAAGTTCTATCTACGTCAACCGCTTGGTTTTTGGTCAATGCCATTGTAATAATATTTATTTTTTTGCAATGATGGAAAGCGATTCGTAACGGAAAGCGTCGGCTGGTCCAAGCCCAAGCCCATCGCGACCAGCTACCTTTTAATTACTTTTATTACTTTCCCATTTTACCCTGATCATCTCTAACCTTTCTCTGTTTTTTTTTTTTTTTTTGGAAACTCTCTATAACCTTTAACCTTTCTCTGTTTGTCCTTGTGTTTCTTTATCAGAAAAGTATTGATTTTCTTATTTGGTGGTTTCCTAGAATACATGGTTGCCTACTTGTTGGCCAAGGCTCAAGAGTTGACTGTTTATAGAGGCAGTTTTAATGGTATATCTCTCATTAATGTGTGTGATTTGGACATTCACATGTTGCTTGATGATCACTCATTTATGAGATGTCATTATATATTCTAATGTTAAGATTAAGAAGTTTGTTTCCATCAGGTATATACGTGGGATCTGTTACTGAACCAACAGTAATAATTGTGTGCTTAGCGTAAACAATCAATGATAACAACGACTGACAATCACTTTTGCGTAATTAGTGTGCATGAGAGACAGATGACAGCATTTTACCTTTCCGTTTAATGTATAATTCAAAATTATTGTTGTTTTGTTTCTAATTTAACTTTTTCCCTTTTTAAAGGGAAACATCACTCACAGCATGTGTTTCAGTATGTGAAATACCAATCAACTAGCAAAATTCATTCATGGAAAGAGGTGGCTTTACCATTCGAGGTCAACAGTAACAATGATTGACAATCACTTTTGTGTACTTAGCGTGTATGAGAGACAAATGTTAGCATTTTACCCTTCCGTTATATATAATTTCAAAATTTTTGTTCTTTTGTTCCTACTTTTAACAATTTCTCCTTTTTAAAAGAAAAAAGCACTTGCATATCACGTGTCTTAGATGTATAGTAACAACCAACTAATAAGATTCATTCTTGAAAAGGGGGAGGATTTAAACCGTAGAGTGTAAACAAATTGAAATTGGTTTTTGATCCAACCAGCTTGTTAGGTTATAAGGAAGAGGATCCTCTCCTAAGCTCAGGATAAGGATCCTCCTGATCAGTTCATCTGGACCGTTCAAATTTAATCCAACGGCTTCAAACAGGGAGTCCTTTAAAAGTTATAATAATTGCAACCGTTTGATTAAATTTGAATGGCCTAAATGGGCTGGTCAGGAGGATCCCCATCCTGAGCTCAGGAGAGGATACTCTTCCAGGATATAATACTTGCACATTCCCTTTTTGGGAGGATGAACTCATTCTCCCACTTGCAACGTATCGTCACCATAGAAATTTTATAATCAGAATGGTTTAATTTCTTAATGTTCATTTGAAGATCATGTTTCCAAGTGGAAGAATAAGCTCATTCCATTCTATTTTAAATGCACATAAACATCCTTGTACAACATTTTTACTTTATATTATATGTTAATACATAGTCCTCTCCGACTTCAACTTAGTTATAGGCTGCATGATTATCTTTACATTTTGTAATCATGATAGGACTTGTATTAGATGTTATACAGTCCTTGTAGGACTCTCTGTAAAGTCAGCATATCTTGTATATTTATACCTGATTATGAGCAGTGGAAAAACATAACTTCCATCAATATTATTATTCTATACTTACTGTGTTCTTCCTCTTATTATATATTTCAACATGGTATCATCTTTTTCCTCTGCTTAACCACCCTCTTTGATCCTGCTTTTCTTCATGTCTTCTTCCTCCTCGTTTCCTGGCCCTGATGTGGCGCAATTTCTTAAACTCAATGATTCTAACTATCTCACCTGGCTTCACCAAATCAAGCCCTTTCACATTGGCCATGACTTATGGAAATTTGTTGATGGCTCCCACCACCTCCGGCGGCTACCCTCACCGTCACTGTCTATCCTACCATTGTTGCTTCTGAATCCGACAGCTCCTCGACTGTCACTGCTTCCACCACTCCCAACCCTGCTTTCGCCCAATGGTCGTCAACTACATCACCGCCACCTTGACGGAGCCTGTTCTTGCTTTCACCATTGGCCATGACTCAGCCCACACTGTCTAGGCATTTCTCCAAAGACGCTTTGCTCACGACTCTGTCACCAACTCCACTACCCTGCGTTATCAACTTCTTGATCTCTCCAAATACTCTAAGCCTGTTAATGAATACCTCTAACATGCCAAATCCCTCGCTGACAAACTTGTAGCCATTGGTCATCCTGTCGACCCCGAGGACTTCATCACTGCCATTCTCCGTGGCCTTGGTTCTGACTACCTTACCCTCACCATTGCCATCATCAACGTCACTCCTCTTCATACCTTTGAAGAGCTGCAATCCAAAATTGAAGCCTTTGATCTTCAAAACCCTTACCTTTCCCTAACTTCTGCCGCTACCCAAACTGCACTCATCACAACCCATCAACCTCGTGCTTCATCTCAGCCTTCTAGTACTTGCAGTGGCACTTGGACCAATTGCTCCCAACGCAACTCCAGTGGTCAGCAACGCGGCTGGCGTCTTGGTCGTAATCAGTAATCCCGCAATTCCCAACCTTGGAATGGACCTCCTCATCATTCTCAGCAATCCTGGCCTGGGCCGCCTGCTCAACACCATTGGCCCGCCCCCCGTGGCCTCTCTAGCCGTCCCACCTCAGGCTTATTGGGCCCCGGCCCGTGGTGCCCTACTTGCTCCACCTCGCAGCACAGCGCTACCCACTGTACACACCGCTATGAAGGCCCAGATTCATTTCCTCATTTTGCAGGCTCTCAGGTGGCTTACTACCAGGATCCCAATACTTGGTTTCCTGACACCGACGCTACCCACCACATGACGGGCCATCCCAACGCTCTTCTCTATCCTCAACTTCATCGTGGTCCTAATTCCGTTCAATTGGGTAATGGTGATTCTCTTAACATTACATCCACTCGTACTATTCCTATTTCTCTTAACTCTATTCCGTTTACTCTTCATCATATTTTTCTTGTTCCGTCTCTCCGTAAAAACCTTTTGTTTGTTGCTCGCTTTACACATGAAAACAATGTTGCTATTTGTTTCTTTCCTTTCTTTTATCATATTTATGATTTACGCACTGGTTCCTTATTGTTTCAGGGCCCATGTAGAGATGGCCTTTATCCATTGTCGCTTCCATCACCCCAAGCCCTTGTTGCGTCATCCTCCATACTCTGGCACCAACGTCTCGGTTATCCTTCGTCCTCGGTTTTGTCTCGTCTTAGCTCTAGTTTAGGTTCTAAGTCGCTTTCTTCTAAGTATTTTTGTACAAGTTGTGCTTTAGGCAAGTCCACACAACTTCCTTTTCCATTGAATAATACAAGGACTACTTCTCCCTTTTTTATTATACATTCTAATGTTTAGATGTCCACTACTACCTCCCCTTCTGGTTTTCGTTACTATGTCTTGTTCACTGACGATTATTCTCGCTATTCTTGGATATATTCCATGAAAAATAAGTCTGAAGTTTTCACCCATTTTCAAACATTTGTTGCAATGGCTCAAAACCTGTTTAACGCTTCCATTAAATATTTTCAAAGTGATGGCGGCACTGAGTATGTTAATCACTCATTCTCTATTTTTCTTCGCCAATTAGGTATCCAACACTATCTTTCTTGCCCACACACACTTCAACAAAATGGACTTGCTAAGCGCAAGCATCGTCATATTGCTGATATGACTCGCACACTGCTTACCGCAGCTTCTGCCCCGCTCACCTTGTGGGTTGAAGCTGCGCTCACCTCTGTCCACCTCATCAATCTTCTTCCCATATTTACCTTTCAATGGTTCACTCCCTACACTCTTTTCCTTGGTCGCCCACCCATCTACTCCCACTTACATACCTTTAGATGTATGTTTTCCATACCTTGGGCTTTATGTTCATGATAAATTAACGCCACGTTTTATTGAGTGTGTTTTTGTGGGTTACAGTGCTTCTCATAAAGGTTACAGGTGCCTTGATCGTGCCACTGGTTGTGTCTATATTTCTCGTTATGTGGTGTTCAACAAAGAGGCTTTCCCCTTTGCCACTCCTCTCGGCCAACACCCAAACGCATATGTGGAGCTTGACATTCATCCCGTCGTTACTCCCTTGCCAAGTAACCCACTGCCCGTTCCTACCATTATTAACCCCGTGGGCTCTCCCATTTCTGCAGGCCCGTCCACGCCCCACGACACTGGGCCTAGTCATCCACCTCCTGCAACCCAGTCTCCAGTGCAGCCTCTCACTGCCCAGTCATAGCCATCGCCACCTATGCTTCCCTCCCATCCCATGGTCACCCGATCCAAAGACGACACGCGGAAACCCAAGACTTGGAATGATGGCTCCATTTGGTATCCTCTCCCTCATGCTCTTTCCGTATCGCTTCTTACTGATGAACTTACATGTTTTACACAGGCTAATCGCAAACCCGAATGACAGGCTGCCATGGCAGAAGAAATTAATGCCCTTCTTAAGAACAACACTTGGGTTCTTGTTCCCTCATCCCCAACCCAAAACAAAGTCGGTTGTAAATGGGTTTAACGCATCAAACGCAACACTGATGGAAGCATCGAACGTTACAAAGCACGCTTGGTGGCCAATGGCTCATCAACAACTGGGAATTAACTATGGTGAAACTTTCAGCCCTGTCGTAAATCTGGCAACTATACGCACTGGTCTTAGTCTTGCTGTTTCCAACCATTGGTTCGTTTGTCAATTTAATGTGAAGAATGTCTTTCTGCATGGTCACTTACAGGAAGAGGTGTATATGTCTCAACCCCGGGGTTTTGTTGATCCCCAACGGCCCAATCATGTTTGTTGTCTCACCAAGGTGCTCTATGATCTTAAGCAGGCTCCCCGAGCTTGGTTCCACCGTTTTAGCTCTTATCTTTTTTAGTATGGCTTTCTT